GTAGGGCTTTGGGCATAAGGTTTAGGGTTAAAGGGTTTTGGGTTTAGTGTTTAGGGCTTGCGGCTGAGGGTTAGGGTTTAGGGCTTTGGGCTTAGGGTTTAGGGCTTAGGGTTTAGGGTCTAGGGCTTAGAGCTTTGGGTTTTAGGGTTTAGGGTTTAGGGCTTTGGGTTTAGGGTTATGGTGTTCTGTAGGGTTTAGGGTTTAGGGCTTTGGCCTTTGGGTTTAGGGTTTAGGGTTTAGGGTTTAGGGTTTTGGGTTTAGGGTTCAGGGTTTAGGGCTTAGAGTTTAGGGTTTAGAAGAATGTTAGCGGGATGATTTTCGTTTGGCATCTGGCCACATGACGACACGTAGGGGCTTGGAACAAAGTTGTTCAGAACCCTGGGCCCATCCGGTTGCCAAGCTAGCAAGTGATGGCCAGTACTACTACCAACAACCGCTGATCCTCTATTTGTCATATGGGAGTTTCCGAAATTAGGGGTAACTTATTTTGGTTCCTTATAATAAGGATCCTACTATTCAGGGTCCTATATTAGGGTCCCCTATTTTCGGAAACCCCCATATGTCTTGAGCGAACATAGTTAATGCCGTTGCCTTTCCAGCAGCCTTACTGTCGGTAGTATTGCCTGCATGAACTGCGACTAACAATCTGTTATCGCAGACTGTACCTCAGTCTTCATCTGGTTTCCATTGCTGCCAGCAGCCGTAACCCTTAGCACTTTCAAGACTTTAGGCAGGATAGTATACTATGAAATACCATAATGCATTATACCATACTAGCGAGGCTTGAACCATGATCCCCACCCATAGAAGATCTCTGACAGCATCACTGCGTGGGAGAAGAGTTCGATTACAGCGTGGGAGAAGAGTTCGATCATGACTGCAGTATACCCTAAACCCTAAACTTTAAACCCTAAACCCAAAACCCTAAATTTTAGACCCAAAACCCAAAACCCAAAACCCAAAACCCAAAACCCAAAACCCAAAACCCAAAACCCTAAAACCGAATTTTGTTGGGGCCTTCGCCTGCGGGGTTTCGCGTTCCTATAATATTTGAAAGATACTGTCGTATACCATATCGTGCTATACTGTGCTGTGTTAGTCTATAACATCGTTCTAGGACTCACGTTCGGTGTATCCAAAGGAAATGCATCCAGTCATGGGTTGTGCCCAGCTGATGATATACAGTCTGCATGACCCATAATAGGGAATATATACCATAGTTCCCATAGTTTAGGGTCCTTGAGGTAATGCAGGATTTAAGCCCTAAGCCCTAAACCCCTAAACCGCTAAATCCCTAAACCCCTAAACCCCTAAACCCCTAAACCCCTAAACCCTAAACCCTAAACCCTAAACCCCTAAACCCCTAAACCTCAACAGTGCCAGGTCGTGGCTTTGGTGGCCTTCGGCCCTAAAGCCGCCAGCTTCAGAGCACACCCCTTGGAGTGGCAGCAGCTGCAGGCTCAGGCGTCGGGCGTGCGATTCTTCCAGTATCTAGGTCTAGGGTGTAGGGTTGAGGGTTTAGGGTGTGGGGTTGAGGGTTTAGGGTTTAGGGTTTAGGGTTAAGGGTTGAGGGTTTAGGGTTTAGGGTTGAGGGTTGAGGGTTTAGGGTTTAGGGTTCAGGGTTTCGCAGTAGGACCCGTTTGCCCCTTTCTTCTTTTTGGCATTGGGTTTCCATTATTAAAGCCCAAATAGTAGGAAAAGGACCCCTTTGCCTTCTTTCTTTTTGGCATTGGGTTGCCTTAGTCAAGCCAGATAGTAGGAAAACGGGCACCCTTACTGTATTTCTAAGGGGCTACTGGGGAACCTAGGTATGAAATCGATGCCGATGCCCATGACGGAGACTACAAGCGGGCTTATGGAGCCGCCATCCAACAGCTCGTTCAAGACACTGGCATTTCTTGCCTCGTCACAGGAGACATTGACTACGTGGGCAGCATGACCACCAATTTTATCACAGAAGTTTGTGAGAAGCACGTGCCGTGGTGTAAGGTGGAGTTGCCACTCTGGCAGCAGGACCGTGGGGAGCTGCTACGAGAAATGTTGTCACCTGAAGTGGATCTGGATATCCGGTACACGTGCGTCAAGTCGCCACATTTCGATGCCTCGTGGATAGGACGTCGATTGGACCAACGCGCCGTAGACGAAATGCGATGCAAAAGCCAAGATGGATTGGATTTGTCGGGCGAGAACGGCGAATACCATACCATGGTCGTCAATGGGCCCATGTACCGATGTGGCAAGGGTGATGGTCTTGCTTTCGATGCTGTGCAGCCGCATGAACTGGAGCAGCAAAAAGGGCAGCCATCCGATCAACGCTGGTTTGTTTGTGACCTTGAGCACACGATCCTGCGCCAGCGCTAACACGGCATTTTGAAAGGAGTCAGCGGGATGGGCTCGGAAATGGTCCTGAAGACTTATGATGGAAGGGGCCAGAGGCTCCTGTATGCCTGAGCACTAGACACGACTGGAGTATTTGAGGATTGCTATGCCGTAAGTCGCATGGCACATAGCTTGGTCGAAATCCGGCCCCTAAACCCTAAATCCCTCAACCCTAAACCCCTAAGCCCTAAACCCCAAACCTCTCGTGGATGGCATTCGCGCTCGACTGGGAGAAAAGGAAACTTGCGAGGGATGCCTTGAGCCGGAGATGGGAGCTAGGATTAGGGGGACCCTTGGGGATATAGACCCTCTCAATAAGGTCCCTTTTAAGAGGGCCAAAAGTAGGGCTCAGAAGGGCTACCCTTTAAGGGGTACCCCTAATAATACTACCTAGGAGAGACACGGCTATCGAATTTCAGTGTATGAAAACCAGGCTTCCGTAGCATTGTCGCACTCCGGAAAGAATCCCTCATCGTCCCTCACATGAGAGGAAAGAACCCCAAAGCCCTACAAGAATCGCTTCGGCCCCAAACCCTAAACCCTAAACCCTAAACCCCAAACCCTAAACCCTAAACCCTAAACCCTAAAGCCAATAGTAAAACCTAGACGGCACTGGAGGAAGCTAGGTCCCTCAGCTCCGAGTCCACTGGATGAAGCATGCGCAGCCTACGGCTTCCGCTGAAATGCGGTCTAGGGTTTAGGGCTTAGGGTTTAGGGTTCAGGGTTCAGGGTTTAGGGTTTAGGGTTTAGGGTTTAGGGTTTAGTTTGAGTGACTAGTTGACATCCAGGGTCTCGTGGTTTCCACCGCAGCTGGAGTACTCAACTGAGCAGTTGATGCCCGACAGCTTCACCTCGCTGCGCGCCATGGTTTGCATGTGTCCAGACAGGCCTCGCCAGCGAGTTCTCAGTGCCACTTCGCATCAGTTCAATGCTTGTCAATGTGGTTTCTACATAGAGAGTTGTAAAGTTAGTTCACTCGTCGATCTTCGAACCACCGAAACCCTGGATTGCGAGCTCAACGCTTGATTTGCAACGACATCGGTGGGCAAGGTGTTGTGCCTGTCCCGGGGGATAGGTGAAGGTCAGCCATCGAAGAATGCACAGGGTGAGTGCTCAGGAATCCAACCAAAGAAGCCGTGTGCATTTAAGGTCAGCGGTTTCACAGTTTCACAGGGAGCAATGGGGATCGTTCACGGACTTTTCTGTTGGAAGTCGCAAACAAGAGCGTGGCCTTTTGGAGGTCTTGGATCACGAAGCTCTGCGTTCCTAGTTTTCCGTTTTTTGAACGAAGGTTTGGGCTCGCTGTTTGGGCTTATCTTTTTGTAGCCTCGGCCTATTCTCTGAGCATTGGGAATCCTACTTGCGAGGCCCTGTATCATTATGCGTTTAGCTTCTTGACGTTTGAAGTGGTTTCTGTGCTTCACGACTTACATTTCTTTGGGGTGTATGGTTCTGTTCAAAGCGGCGAGTCGCGTGACAGTGCCGTCAGGGGCATCTTTTGTGCGGAGTAGTGGCTAAGAAACCTGCACATGTTTCCCTTGCCAGTGGCGCCCTTCACCGCAATCCTAGGCACCACAGCATGCAGCCATGGAATGTCAGACTGCACGGCTTCTGTGTCTCAGGATGGAACGGTTTACGTGGCATTCCTTGCGGTCGGCACCTCTTGCGGCTGGTTCGTGATCAACGGCCCAAGCCTCACAGTTGTTCGCCCCGTGAGGCTTCTTATGGGCTGGTGATCGGGTTACCCTAAACCCTAAACCC